ACTTACTGAAAGCCTCCCTATTTAACAGCAAGGAAACTGGGCAGTTGTGCTTTGTTTTGATACCTTGTCATAAAATAATTTTTTTTGAAATGTTAAATAACTTTAATGGAAGGCATACAGTTACTATGTTAACCAAACCATATTGTTTTTAAAAATGGCTTAAAAATCAAATCCCTTAAAAAGGTACAAAATGATTTTGCTAATAATAAGGATAAAATCTGAAAGCCTACTATACTACCTTCTGGGAAATAAATGAAGCATAGCACACTAGCTGGTATGGGCACTCATCTATTTGGCCAGAAAGTAATCCTATATGTGGCAGGGTTATATTTGCTCTAATAATGGCATCAAATACAGAAATGGCAATAAACAGCAAATTCATGTTTTTGAAAGAAACCGCTCTCTCTCGAGTTCTGGCTCCCTTCCCCCTCCCCCATTTCCCTTCCCTCCTCTCCTCTCCTCTTCTCTCTTTCTCCTCTTTCTTTCTCTTTCTTTCTTCTCTCTCTCTCTCTCTCCTCTCTCTTCTCTCTTTTCTTTCTTTTTTTTGATGGCGTTTCACTCTTGTTCCCTAGGTTGGAGTGCAATGCCACAGATCTGGGTTCTCTGCAACCTCTGCCTCCCAGGTTCAAGCAATTCTCTCCAGCCTCAGCCTCCCAAGTAGCTGGGATTACAGTAGATTCTGTAAATCTACTAAAATCCGGTAACCTAAAAATACAGTTCAGTTGCTTGGTTAAGTATTCCAGGGGTAGGTGCATTGCGGAGATTTTAAGGTAAGTACATTTGGGTACTAAACCTGTCTGATACAAAAAGGTGTTCAGCTAGGAACAGCTATTTTTCTTTTGATTTTTTTTTTGTTGTTGTTGTTGTTGTTTGTATTTTTAGTAGAGACGCGGTTTTACCATGTTGGCCAGGCTGGTCTCGAACTGCTGATCTCAGGCGATCCGTTTGCTTAGGCCTCCCAAAGTGCTGGGATTACAGCTGTGATCCACTGCACCCGGCCCCCCAAGTTTTCTTAGTTCTTCAAGAACTTTCTTGTGATTACAGGCAAATTACAAACACTGTGAATACCCTCACAGAACGCTAAAGTATTTTTTTTTTTTTTAAGAAGACCATTCTTGGCCGGGCACAGTGGCTCAAGCCTATAATCCCAGCACTTTGGGAGGCCGAGGTGGGCGGATGACGAGGCCAAGTGATCAAAACCATCCTGGCCAACATGGTGAAACCCCGTCTCTACTATACAAAAATTAGCTGGGCGTGGTGGTGCACCTGTATTCCCAGCTACTCCGCTCAGGAGGCTTGAGGCAGGAGAATCCCTTGAACCTAGGAGGCAGAGGTTGCAGTGAGCCGAGATCGTGCCACGGCACTCCAGCCTGGCAACAGAATGAGATTCCGTGTCAAAAAGAAAAAAAAGAAACCTCCTCTCTACCAAAAATACAAAATTAGCTGGGCGTGGTGGCGCGTGCCTGTAATCCCAGATACTGGGGAGGCTGAGGCAGGAGAATCGCTTGAACCCGTGAGGCAGAGGTTGTGGTGTGGGCCGATATCGAACCATTGCATTCTAGCCTGGGCAACAAGAGAGAAACTCCGTCTCAAAGAAAACAAACAAACAAACAAACAAACAAAAAAACAACCATTCTTTTTCTTGCCCCACTGTGAAGGAGGATATTAAGGCAACTGACACCTAGCTTCAGAGCTATGTTCAAGAAGGACAACTTACCTCATTTGCTTATGCAGTGCATATGCTTCAATCAAAGAATGTACCATACTGGCCTAAAAACATCAGCGGAAAAAAAAAAAAAAAAGGCAGAAAATCGTCTCTTAAAAGTTTAATTCAGCAAAATCGTCTTTAACCTCATCATCCTGAACAAAGGAACGGATTAACTTTGTTTCAACTGGTTTCCCTTTTGTTAACAGTTACAATACACTTTGGACAAAACAGATACAAAGTATCAAAATCACTAAGGTGAAAGCTACCGGGTCTAAGGCAAGTGATGGAACACTTTCCCCCTGCAGCTTGTTTTTCCACGACTTGCGGTCCCCTAGGAGTGGAAACTGCATACCCTCCCCTCCTCCGTATCCCCTCCCCCACCCTTACCTGTGCGTTGGTCGTCGCGCAGGGATATGCTGCGCTCTCAGAAACGGTATGAGAACACTTCCTTCCGATACAGCTTTAGGTATGTGATACAGCTACCCAAAATTTCTGAAGATTTTCCCCAGCCCAGTGTCGTCTCGGCTTCCTAACGCTCTTTCATCCACCACCCCCACCCCCACCCCAAAAGCCCACGGTCTTTCATCCAGACTTCTCTTACCCGTTTGGGGATCTTGGCCAGGGAGTCACACATACTGACATACTCAGGACTATAGATATACACCGGGACCAGTGACTGCCTAGTATCCTCCGGTTCCTCCGGCTCTTCCATCTTCCACTTACAACCGTTCCGCAGCCACCGTCCAGATCTGGCTTTTTTCGGACTCGTCCAGGGCTCCAGTTCCTGCTCCTCTGATCGGCCGCAGTGGTGTTCCCTGGTCAACATTCCCTCCTATTCTTCAGATCGCAGGAGACACTATCCCCGCTCCCCATCCAATTGAAAGAATGGATGGGACTTCCCAGGCCAGACTCCCCTCATTTAGTGACCACAGCTCAAGAAAAAGGGTTCGGCAGATATAAAAGTCCAAAGAGCTGTCAATTAGGATCGATTTATGGCACAAATAAGTAGGGTCAAAACTAACCATCCTTGTTGCCCTACGGGGCCATTTGAGATGAAGCCAGACCAGTTTCACAGCATGCTGGGAGATGTAGTTTCCAGCGGTTTGAGCAACGGAAGAGCCTGGGCGAATCACTAAAATAACCGCGATTTTGAGTTTTAGCGCTAAGACACACACACACACACACACACACACAAAGTAGCCTCAACTCTTTATGAATTGTTTCAATATGCAAACATATCCGTTTAACCATATAAACACAGATACAATGTGGCCACCTAGAGCCCCCACCATCCAGCTACATCAGCTACTTATTTTAAGGATAGGCCTTTTTTTTTTTTTTTTTTTATGGGGGCGCTAATTCATAGCACAAATGGTTTGACAAGTTTACACAGTAAATTCTGTGATGCAATTTTATAGTTCATTTCTTTTCATCATTAACTATCTATGTCCACATGAGAGTTAACAATCTCAATAATTTACTCTGGCAAATCTGATAGCACTTTCCCAAGAGACTGGCTGATGTGGTGTATATTAATTGCTTGGTAGATTCCAATCAAGCAGTAATGTCAAATGTTACTCCTTGAACATTCATGGGGTAGGAAGGTTGCAAGCAGTAGTGTTCAGAAACTGCAGCTCTTCCCCCCCGCCATCTCCTTTTGTTTCTGCAGCTAAACATAGATTAGGGAAATACTTTAAGTTTGGTGTGAGGGTTCAGTTTAAGACTATCTAAGGCAGTTTTAGAATTACCATCAGCGTTTGCAGGTTCCTGGAGGCCCCTATGATCTGCTACAAGCTGGCCAGTGCTCAGGCCCTCAATTCCCATGACAACCTAAACTGACTTACTAACACCACTGGGACAACCTAATATGCTTACTATATTTAAAATCTAGCTTGCTTTTTAGACTTTAAACATTTATTGAAGATTGTGACATGTACGTTGGATATATTATTTCATCCTTGCAACAGTCCTATAAAGGAGGTTGTAATACACCATTTTATAGATGCAGTTTAGAGAGAGAAATAATCATTCAAAATCACATACTTACCAAGCAGAAAAGCAGGAATTCAAAATTAGGTCAGCCTGACACTGAAGGCTTTGAACATTCCCTTTACTATACAAATTTTATTCCTCCAGCATGACTTTATGTTATAACTTTGGTCACCCTCCATTTTGTATCCCCTCAATACTTATTCTGAAAATCTTGGGGGTTTTTTGGTGATGTGCTCTGTAACTAGAATGTAAGATCTTATGCTTCTTTTATTGATATATTCCCATAGCAACTAGTTAAAATCTCTATAGTCATTCATTGGTCAAACATTTATATGATATTAACTAGTATACAGCTGATGATTCAAAGATAAATTATAATGTGATCTCTGCTGTCAATGAATTTGCATTCTTATACAGAAGATGGGGAAAATTCACAAGAAACCAAAGGCAATGCAGACTCAGACAATGAATGTAGAATGCTTAGCCTACTTAATAAATAAGCATTAAGTACTAAATAATGGTATTTCATAAATGTAAGTAGAATTCTTCTTTGGTGGGATTTGAGAGGGTCTTAGAAGGTAGGCAGGAGTTTGCTTGGTGAAGATGGGAGCCAGGAGAAGGCATGTTGACTAGAAGGAACAACAGCATAAACAAAAACACAAAAGAGAAAATTTCTAGTCGAGCTTAGTTAAAAGGGCCAGATTATGAAGAACACGGAATACCAGGCTAAAGAGACTAGACTACATTTTGTGGGAAATGGGGAAACATATTTAGACAGAAATATTAAGGAAAAAAGACATCTATAGCAGCAGTGTGCAGGAAATATTAGCCATTAAAAGACTAGGGGCAGTTAGAGTGCCACAATGATCCAAATAAGAAGTAATAATGGGCCGGGCGCGGTGGCTCAAGCCTGTAATCCCAGCACTTTGGGAGGCCGAGGCGGGTGGATCACGAGGTCAAGAGATCGAGACCATCCTGGTCAACATGGTGAAACCCCGTCTCTACTAAAACTACAAAAAATTATCTGGGCATGGTGGCACGTGCCTGTAATCCCAGCTACTCAGGAGGCTGAGGCAGGAGAATCGCCTGAACCCAGGAGGCGGAGGTTGCAGTGAGCCGAGATCGCGCCATTGCACTCCAGCCTGGGTAACAAGAGAGAAACTCCGTCTCAAAAAAAAAAAAAAAAAAAGAAGTAATAATGATTTTAAACTAGGCTGGGGCAATGGGAACAAAGAAGGAGAAATAATGTACAGGGTAGGTTCAACAGGACTTCTTTACTACTTGGATATTGGTGAGAGGGAGGAAGATGGAAGAGGCTTGCTGAAAATTCTTAAGTGTAAACTCTGGGTGAAGAAAGACTAGAGGTAGCAATATAAGAAAGAGGACAATTGGAAGGAAGAACTCATACGATAGGGCAGAATGGACACAGATTCTGATTTTAAAAGTTTTGTTTCAGAACTTAATGGGTTAAACAATTGCAGACACACACACACACACACACACACACACACACACACACACACACACACAATTTTTCCATATAAAAAGGAGAAAGCCGAAGTTATAAGAGTGGCTGAGATAGCCAAGGGAATGTGGCTTTCTCCACTGGGTTGCCCAACAGTCATATCCAACAACATTTTCAAAACCAAGCTCCCAATTTCCCCATCCAAGTTCTTTCCACTCCTTCTCTATCTTTCACAGCTCAGTAAAGATACCAACATCTATCCAGTTGCCTAAGTCAGAAACCTGGGAGTAATTTGTGTTTCTTCCTTTTTCTTCACTTGCAGATCCAATACATCAGCAATTTCCATCAGTTCCACATCCAAGACATGCCTTAAATACATTCACTTCTCTCCCTCTGCACTGCCACCACCCTAGTCTGGGCACTGTTATCTCTCACTTGGACTTTCTGCAGTATCTACCTGGGGCCTGCTTCTATTCTTGCTGCCCTACAACCCATCCTCTTTGCAGCTGCCAGAGTGAGGCTCTAAAAAAAGAAGTAAGTCCCATCATGTCACAAAACCTGCCCCACACCCTGATGAGGACCTCTGAGCTAGGAAGAAGAGTGTCATTTTTGGAAATGCCTGTGCATAAGGATTTAGAGGAGAAAAGGATGTCAGAAAGGAGACAAGGAATGGTCAAAGACTGCTTTTTGCCATTAGAAACTCACTGGTGCCCTGTGGAACGAAACAAAACAGGAAGTAGGGGAGGAAGCTTGTGAGGGGTTAAAAAGTGAGGCCATCACAGTTAGTATAGCTTCCTCTTTGAAAAAATGTGATTGTGAAAGGAAGGAGTTAGTTAGTCTAACAGCCTGAGGGGATGTGAGAGCCCAGAAATTTTTTAAAGATGAAACTGCACATGTTTATAGACAGGGAAAGCTACAGGACTTGACTGAAAGGTGAGATCATGATGACTGGCAATATAAGAAGAAATGGGACTTGTCCCAGGCCTTCTGGGATAGGCAGTGGAAAGAAGAGGACAGGATATAGATTGGCCAGCTGACACCCTCAATTCTGGACTCTACTTGGATGACATGAAAACGTATTGTTTTAGGTGTTCTTTCTGATCTAGTAACAAAAAACTGAATGCTTCTAAACTGGAAACACTATCCAAGTACCCCACACAATGTGGCAAGATGATTCAGCTATGGAGAAAGATAAATTGTTGCACAGTGCTCTGGAATTGGCAACTTATTCCTGCAGCTAATCTCACAGGGAGGCTAGACACTTGCTCATGATTAAGAAAGAGCATAAATCATGCCACAGGTTCCTCACCTCAATTTTCCACATTGGTAATACCCATATGGTTCTTAAATTGGGAAGTAAACCCTTCTCTCTTTCGCTCTTTTTTTTTTTTTCGAGATGGAGTCTTGCTGTCACCCAGGTTGGAGTGCAGTGGCATGATCTCAACTCACTGCAACCTCTGCCTCCCGGGTTCAAGCAGTTCTCCTGTCTCAGCCTCCCGAGCAGTTGGGATTACAGGCACCTGCCACCACATCCAGGTAATTTTTGTATTTTTAGTAGAGACAGGGTTTCACCATGTTGGCCAGGCTGGCTTCGAACTCCTGACCTCGTGATCTGTCCACCTCAGCCTCCCAAAGTGCTGGGCTTACAGGCATGAACTGCCAGGCCCAGACAGAAAATCCTTCTCAGTGCACTGTATTTGCAGTTGGAGGACTTGAGGTCAAAGGAAGTAGGTTGAACATTGGCTTCAAAGCTTGCTAGGGTGGTGACCCTGGGCACGTTACTTGACTCACTTTCCTCAATCATTATTGCTAAAGGTAACATTTAAACCGGTAAGGTCAGGTTGGGCTGTGCCACTTCTTTTGGTGCTTTCCCATGCCTTTCCCCAGAAGGGGAAGCAAACACATTACAAGGGCACCACCCTTCAGGCTGCCTTCTCTGCTCATTTCACAATCTGTCCAGTGACACCTCAACTGACCCTTGTTTTCACACCACCCCTTTAATGACCTTTGCTTGGAGAGTGTAGTTGTTGAGAATGTGAACTCTAGAGTCAGATTGCATGGGTTCAAATTCCAGCTCTATCACTTATTAGATGATTGATTTGGGGCAATTTACTTAAACTCTCAGTGCTTCAGTTCTCTTACTTGTAAAATGGAGATGACAATATCTGTCTTACATGGCAATTGTGAAGATAAAATGGCCCATGCTAAGTGCCTATATAACAATGGCATTTGGTATGTGCTCAAATATTGGTTATTTAAGAGCCATTATGCCAAATATTTCTATATGTGGTGTGGAAAGGAAGTTTTCCCCCTACTGTCATGCTTACCCCCAAACCACTACTGCATAAGTACTACTAGTGGTTTATGAACAAGTTCTTGGTTTTTTTTTTTTTTTTGGCTTAGCTGTAAAAGAAATCACACATCTGCTAAACATAGGGTGACCATATCTTTCAAAGTGAGACACTTTTCAGAGTGACAGAGTGCTATTAATAATTATGCCAGTAAAACATGTATAAATGGGGGCTGTCCTGGACAAACCAACACCTGAGGTTACTCAAGTTAAATAGGAAATGAAGAGTAAATGTGGAAAATACCACACTTAATCTCCACTGCATTAGGGCAGATACGAGATATTTGGTATGTAGAGAAAGGAATGGCAGAGGTTTTGCCAGCTGTGGTGAAGAACAACTTTTGCCCCACCAGTTGTGTAAGATTCCCAGAATGTAGTAAAATTTCATTAACCAGGATGGAACTGTAGAGACAATGTTCATCCTTGCTGGATAAATCCTGTTATAGAAAAGGCAAATTAATAGTATAAACAAGATTCTGACAAATATTTATAATATTTTAAAAAACAAGTTGTTTTTAAATGTCCTTCAATAGGGAGAAGCACCATTTGCACACAATTGAAATGCTGAGTAAAAATTGGTTTTATTCATTCATCAGAAAATGTTCCCTACAGGCCGGGTGTGGTGGCTCATGCCTATAATCCCAGCACTTTAGGAGGCTGAGGCAGGCGAATTACCTGAGGTCAGTAGTTTGTGACCAGCCTGGCCAACGTGGCAAAACCCCGTCTCAACTAAAAATACAAAAAAAATTAGCCAGGGATGGTGGCTGTGCCTGTAATCCCAGCTACTTGGGAGGCTGAG